CTAAATTTCAGATGAACGTTTAAATACACATCTACAAAAATACAACCTCAGCTATAAATATGAGAGAACAATTTAAATATGTTACAGAGTAAACACTTTAGAAAGGATGGAGGGAGTAGAGTATCCTGGTCTTTGAAATATCATACAATGAAGCTGAAATTATTTCATATTCTTCTAGTAAGATTTGTAATAATATTGGACTTCAGACACTATTCTGTACCACAGAATTTTTAACTTTTACATAATCTTTGCTAAAGTTATAAAACCTTTAGTGCTATAATGCAGAATGACACTTTGGAATATTTATTTTGCTACAAGTAGTATGTTGGTAAGACACCAGTGGCCTTCAATCTACTGAAATAAGAAAAATCCTCAATAAACTATTTTCTTCATAGTTTGCAATGGTTAACAAAGGCACATGTAATTATAGCTTATAAACTAAAATTGAAAACACGTTTGCATTTGTTTTACTTGTGTGCATAAAAAAGTACCAAAGTAGTATAACAGTTGTACAGTAAGCAGTTCTTTGCAATTTAGTTTTTTTTCAGCAGTTTTTAGACCCTGTTATATATCTCAATAAGGATATCATTATAACTTTTGTCAAACTTCTCTCATATTTCTGACAAGAGTATAAAAAACATTAATAATTTTTTCCACTTTCTAGGTAGAAATTATGCTTTATACATTAGTTGGGTATAGCTGCCTACAGTGCTGAAAAAATTAAAACAATTAAAGTTGAATTACCAATACATGATCATTAGATGACAATTAACATCCAAAAAGATAGTTGTAATGACAGAAGGGACATATATACTTTTATTTTTAATATCATTTTTTAATTTATGGTAATTGTGATATTACTGTAATATCTTTAAAAAAAACAGTGGTATAACTATTGTTTTAGAATTGCAATCTGCCTTTAAATCAGTATAAAACTATCATTTCCAAAATATTCAAAAACTAATTTGGAAACATGCGTTAGCTAGTTCTGAGTTTATTTGGCAGTATTGAATTGTTAGTTACATAAGCAGCATCTGAGGACCAGCCCAGATATTCTTTGAAGAAAAAGTGCTAGTACACATTTAATAAAAATCACTACATTTGGAACAAATATTTTTAAAAATATTACTAACTTTCCAGACACTATTACTACTAAGGTAAAAAATGAGTTTACTTTTCACACTGTAAAGAATTCTGTGCTTTTTAAAAATCACAGGTTTGTTCACTTTTTAAAAAAATGAATTGTAAAGCAAAATGTAAGTAATGAGTCTCTAACATTGTGTAACATGCATCAGCAAATGAATCACGTGTTTTTTGATTTCTGTACCTTATATATCAGATTAGATAAGCATTCAATAAATCATTTACATTTCACTTCCAGTTATATAAATATGGATTCTTGTGGAGCTGCTCGAATTTATCTGTAGAAATATTTATGTGCATATTTATAAGCTAAGCACTATATTTATTGGCATTAAACTACACTAGACAGTCTTCCATTGTCTCCCTATCTCTGAATCAGCACTGTTCCAGAATGCTAAGAGATCTACTTAAGGTTTTAAGATTTTTCTTAAATTCTAAATTCCTATTTCATATTGAGCAAATTAATGGCTAAACACTAGAGCTAATAGTCAAGACAGCTTATCCAAATGACTATATTGTTTATAGAAATGACCACATAAAATGAAAGTTGTGCTACATGTTCATTACCATTGCTCTACTGTAACCATTCAAGTGGAATGTTTAAATTATTTTTCAAATTAAATAGTTTTCAGGCATAGGACAAAAGTTGATCAATGTTGTCTCACAACAAAACCAAGTTAACTTTATCTGTTAGTACCACATTCCCAAAGGCATTGCACTCAGTAAATAAACATAGTCAAAGGTCAAAGCTCAAAAGTACCATTAGAAAACTTTACAAATTAGGTTCAATGGGTATTCTATAAGTCAATGGCACAATTCCTGTCAAGTTTAGATTCTGGGTAATTAATACAGCCCATACCAGTTGTCACATAACATTTTATGTGGATTTCCCAATATATGCTTCTTAATTCATGTCTATTCCGGCAAAAAAGCATGGCAGCACAGGTTACCTTGCCATGCTAATATGCATGAGAGGTGACAGAGAACACTTGGAAAGGACAGTAAGAATGGTTAACTGTCCCCAAGTGCCATTTCTTCCTGCACATATACTCCCTAAGCAGTTCCCTAACCTGGTTCAATTGGAATCTGACTAGGGTATCCTGGAAATTGCCTTGCATGGCAATCAGCAAGACAATCACACTTGCCTGTTCACCAACTGCAAATCCTGAATGCCTTCTACTGCAAATGCGTAGAAAATATTTCATTTGGCTTTTAAAAAAATAAGTTATGTTGAATACTTCCGACAAAAATAAAAATCGTGAAGTTAATGTATTATCTTCTCCCCAACATAGATTTCTGTGTCATGAATTTTAACAAGTACATGGACTGGTTTTCTATCTTGCAAACCTCTGTCATATGAGTTTAATTAGATGGAGCCCACACATTTACTGTTTCAATAGATATTGTCTACACTGGAGAAACAGATCTTACTACATAGCCAATATAAAACTTGATCACTGCTTTTAAAAAAAACCAAGTTTATTTTTTTTAAAGTTTTAAGCTTTGGTTCCAATAACCACTGAATTATGAAGCTCTAAAACCTAAAGGCTTCCAAACCAAAACACTTAATTCTATTTAAGCCTGCTTAGAAACTAAAGGTACCGCCTTAAGGGTTGGGTTTAAAACCAATCGTAACAAGGGACACGTCTGTCCTATTAACCAAATATGTTGGATTTAGGTCTGAGCTTGAAAGAGGCTTTAAGGGACTTTTCCTCCTCCTCCTCCTCCTCTGCATCCCCCTTGAAAGAAGGGGTCGTATGGATGATTTGCGTATGGAACCGGATTTTGTTGAGGCGGGGTTTTATCCTACCACTGCCGGATATTTTCCTACTGAGCTCTTTGCTCTTGTTGGGTGCAGCAGCCCCGTCTGCCGATTCCCTTTCATCCCCATGATGATGGTGGTGGTGGTGGTGGGAAAGCTTGTAAGTAATGAGGTTAGAGGGGAGCACCCTGGAAAGCCTCCAGCGGCTGCTGCCATTCGATGCCCCGCTGTCGACCTCATCCTGCAGAGCCCCGACGAGGCTGCGTACCTCTTCGGCGGTGCCCCGGCTCAGGTAGTGCGAGGCCTTGTGGCCGCTGTAATCCCGAATATCCACGTCGGCGTCGTAGGCGCCCACCAGCAGCTTCACCACTTCCAAGTGGCCGTGCATGGCGGCCAGGTGCAGCGCGGTGTAGCCGCCGCTGGTGCGCGCGTTAATGTTGATGGGCAGGCACTGCCGGTGGGCGAAATTGACCAGCCTCGCCAGCACTTCGGGGTGGCCCAGCTTGGCCGCCCAGTGCAGGCACGTGAAGCCCGTGATGAAGTCGCGCTTGGGCAACAGCGCCGGCTCGCAGCTCAGTAAACTCTCCAGGCTTTCCCAGCGCCCGTCCGAAGCGCACAGCATCCACGCGTGCTCCAGCGGATCCAAGGCCCCCGAGCCCTCGCCGCTGCCACTCTCGTCCTCGGCCGACGAAGACGCCAGGGAGGCGCTGTCCGAATCCCCGCCGCCGCGGCTCCCTCCGCGGTGCAGGCCCCCGCCGCGCTTCTGCTGAGGGGAACTGCCCAGCATCCGCTCCCGGAAGATCTTGTGCCCACACCTGGGTGTGTTGGCGCCGGTAGAGGCTCCGCCCGCCGAGGCGCCCGCAGCCGGGCTCGTGGAGGGCGGCGAGTCTTCTTCGAGCTGGGCCTCAACGGCGTCCCCGCCGGGCTTCTCCTCAGGCTCAGCATCGCCCGCGGGCGTCGCCACCGCCTCCAGGGGCCGCGGGCTGCTCTGCTCTGCCTCCCGGCCGCCTCCTCCTCCTCCTCCTCCTTCTCCTGGGCTCTCTGGGCTCGCCAGAGGTGCCTGGGTGATTCGGGACGGAAGCGCCTCCGGCGGTGCTTCCGAGGCGGCAGCGGCGTCGCCCTCCTCGGACGGCAGCTCTCCAGAAGCTGCAGAGGGATCCCCTCTCGCCGCCTTCTCTCCCTTCAGCGGTTCGGCGCCGGCTTCCTCTTCCAGGGCCTCCCCTCCTCCATCCCGGCTGTCCCCTTCGCCGCCAGGAGCACCAGGGGGGCGCGGCGTGTCCTCGGGATGCCCGACAGTCCCGGAGCCGTTCTCGGCCGGAGGGGCCGCCGCCGCTTCGGATTTCCGACCGCCGGCGCTGCCGCGGTATTTCTTGCGCAGCTGCACATACTTGGTCCCCGAGCCGGGCTCCTGCCGCACCGTGGCCACGGCGTTGACCAGCTCCTTAAAGTGGTCGCGGGCCCGGGCGCGCCTCTCGGGGTCCGGCGAAGCGAGGAAGCCACGGAAATGGTCCAACAGGTCGGCGTTGCGAGCCCGGCCTCCGCGCTCTGCCAAAAACCGGAGCACCGTGTCCCGGTCCAGCTCCCCCGGCGCGGCCATAGGCGCCCACAGACCGTTGGCGGCGGCGGCGCCCGCGCCCCTCCTGTCGATCCCGACCGCTAGCCTTCAGCGCGGGATCCCCTCCCGACTCCTTCGCTTGGCCCGCCATGGCATCGTCGCTGCCACGAGACGCCCGACAGCATCGCCCGAGTCCGGCTTCTCCCTCTCCGCCCTCCCTCGGTTGCCGGACCCTATCAAGCGCGCGTCCCCTCCTTGTTCATGTGACGTCCGCGAGGGAAACAGGGAGGCGCCTTATTTGCCCGCTTTCAAACTGCCCTCCCCTCCCTTTGAATGAATCTCGGCGCTGAGGAGGCTCTAAAGAAGCTCGCCGCTGAGAAGGGAGGGTCGGGGCGCCCGTCCGAAACCACGCCCTCGCCATGCTCCTCCCATATTAAGAGAGTAGGTTTCCCACTCCTACCCGTAGGAGGCAGTGCCGCTCGTACCCCTTCCTCCCTGCCCCCCCCCCCCCCCCCCCCCCCCCCGTTTGCGGTTTGGGCAGCATCTTCTGCCGTCGGGACGGGATTGGCTGGGCCTTGGTCCCGCCCTCCTTTCCGCGCGGCCTCTCATCACCACCAGTTACATTCCAGCTGTTGGGATTGGAGTTGGAAGTTCGAGACGGGCTCCCACCCTCCCTCGCCATTGTCTTTGGCGCGCGGTGACCCCTCCCCTCATGTCATGGCTTCTTCCGATGTGGCTCGGCAGCTGGTAAGTCCGGAGCGCGCCCTGAGGTGTGGGCAGAGGGAGAGCCGGCCTGGACTGGGCGACAACGGTCCCGCTCGGGCTTGGCGGCCACACGCCTGCTTTGTGGGTAGGAAATCCCATTGGATTCCCGGGCTTCCTTTTGGTAAAGGGAAAGTTGCAATCCACGAGAGCCGTTTCGCCCCCTTGATTTCGATGGGCACAGGATCCGGCCTAAATGATCCAAAAAGGGCAGCTCTCTGGGACCCAGATTGCTTTCATTCATCCCATTACAAACACTTCCAGCTTCCCCCATCACTTATAGCTTTGTGTAAATCCGAAAGCACCAGCCTCTTGCCATGACTGCAGACAAACAAAAATAGGAAAGTTTGCTGCCCCCCAACCAGTGAGTGCTTGCCTAGAGAATTTTTTTTAACATTATAGACATTGTTATTAGTTAGAATTTTACTTCTTCTGGGAATTTGAGGTATTGTACCTTGTAAAGTAGGCTGACCTGAGGAATAGTGACTGGCACAGAGTGACTTCCTTAATTTTCCATGTCTGAGTATGGAGTTGAATTTGACTTCCCCTCATTCTAATCCAGCGTCTCTAATCTGAGATATCAGGAGGTTTACTTTCAAATATAGACAAAGTTCTCAATTGGTGATGGCTAGCTGTGCCCTGGTGAAACTAAGTAGGATTTGGGTTGGTTAGGACTTGGATGGGAGATTTTCTGAACTATAGTATAGAAAAGAATTCTGGAAGAAGCAGTAACAAATCACTGCCATGATCTATCTATCTATCTATCTATCTATCTATCTATCTATCTATCTATCTATCTATCTATCTATCTATCTATCTATCTATCTATCTATCTACCTACCTACCTACCTACCTACCTACCTACCTACCTACCTACCTATCCTTGCTTTTCTAAAGAACATACATGCATGTCAGCATTGCTGCAGCATTTCTCAAATGACTCAGGTAAGACATTAAAGGCTGCTAACAGGTTTATTGTGATACCAGTTTATTGGATTAAACCTGATGTACTTCACAAGGTCTTTGCCCTGTTAAATACTTCAAAGGTTCCTTCTATATTTTTACCTCATTATTTCCACCCAGTATATACCACTGCTACAAATTCCTAGGCACCCCATCTGTTATTAATGCTTCACCTTATTTTTCCTTATTTTCCTTTCCCGCTTGAGAAACTGCCTGAATATTCATTTTCTAACTTTTGTATAAAACTTTTGCTTTTTTTTTTAAAAAAAGTATCACTTCCAACTTGAAAATTTCTATATATAAACTCTACATATAGGAAATTAAGAGTTAGGAAAGAAAAGTATAGAAGTTGTCTCCCTCACACATTAAGTCTTTTGAGTGTTGGAAAATTACCGCTTTGTGTATAACAGGATTAGGCCATGCTTTTGCACATCTTCAGTCTAAAGTATTGCAACCACAGTATAAAAAACATCCCTCCAATAGTTGCTTGGCAGTTCAGTGAGTGTGCAAATGGTTAACTTTTACACAAACATTTAATTTAAAATTAAATTCACATATTAACCAACCAAATTGTTGCTGCTGCCCAGTGATAATATGCTTGGAAAACAGTTTCATTGAATGCAATAAAATTTATTTTTGAGTCAATTTGAACAGCACTGCATTGCTGGTAGCTTTATGCTACTAATGTAATTCAGTTATATGTATCTATATGAATATAAACTTATGCTGTAAAGGCAATTCAGATAGGTGTATGGGTGTGTGTATATATATATCTATATGTATATACACATACATATGCACATTTATACAATTTAATTACCTCTGTAGCATAAACCAGTTTATGTTCACAATATATTAATTTGTCAGGTTGCTCTCATTAAATACAGCCTTTGAATTATTTTCTGTGCCTTTCTAAGCTTTTATTATGTCAAGATTTTCCTCCACACCCAGCACTATTTTATAATCAAGTATCCTTTATGCTGGTAAGTCAGCATTCTACACTTACACTAAAGTAACACCCATATTTTCATAATCTCTCTTTTTAAATCTATTTAGCTCAAATCTTTTTTCCCCATAAAGGCTGCATTTCCTGGTTATGTTAACATCTAGGGATTATAATTTTCTCAGCTGTTGTTTATATTTAACTTTTTGTATTGTATTTATAATTTGATTTTAATTGATTTTATGATGATTATTTGCTGCCCAGTGTCACTTGTTTGAGATGGTTGGCCATATACATAAATTATTTAAAATAACTGTTCAAATAATGTTTTAAATATTTAAAAAACTTTCCTGAATTTGAAAAATGAATTGCATACTAATGAGCTAAAAACTTATCCATAGGCTGCTGCTATTGTGGAATAATGAGGAAAAAAACAGCAGTGTTTTAAATAATTGTATATTTTACTGTAATATTCAGCTGCTGTTCTGGTTAGATCCTATTTGTGTGTGTGTGTATATATACACATACACACACACATTTCTTATCCTATTTATAAGAGGAGTATAAGGTAGCTTGCACATTTAAAAATACATTAAAAGCTGTGGCAATTTTCTACCCAATTATGACAGATCCTATTTGTATGTGTGTATTGAAAACCCTTGTTTCTTACCCTATTTATAAGAGGAGTGTAAGGTAGCTTGCACGTTTAAAAATATATTAAAAGCTGTGGCAATTTTCCACCCAATTATGAGCAGTCCTAAAACTGCAATATGAAAGCAATAGGCAAATATCATTAACAACTTATAGGGAAATATTAGAAATATTTACAAGTAATTTTTTACTATCTTTCACTGTGAAACCCCCCACCCCCCCAAAGTTATCATTTATTAGTATTATACCAAAATTTTAAGTTGTTTGTGTTTGGAGGAGCGTTAAGAGATTTTCTAAAATTTATACACTGATTTCCTTTGCATAGATTTGAATCGGATTCATTTGCTATCCCATTCTCATATGACATAATTAGATTGAAAAGAATAATAGTCAGTGATATACCATCTATGATCTATAGAGTTTTATTTTTCTAAGTTTGACTCCAAACTAAACTTTGGCAATATACAGTAGTTGTGAGTGTACTTGTTTCATAAGAAATGAGTATATTTTGACTACTGTATCTCCAGATGATAAAGCATTAGCCTTGATTATTGTTTTCCACTGTGTATGCCTAATTTTTGAAGTGCATGTGATAAAGAATGCATTCTGTAAAGATAGTGGTTCCTTCAGGTAAGGATATGTAAAGATTCTACAGAAAAAAGTAATTAAAAAGATGACTACTATTTAAATTCATAGTACCAATATAAATGATTTATAGCAAAGTTATTTAAATGTTCAAGCCCTTCAAAAGATTTCCATATCACAGACACTTGAGTCACTTAACTTCCTGATTAAAACTTGCATCTACAAGTATGTTCTTTGGCAAAGATTCAGGGACACACAGAAATAATTGGCTTGGTATTTCTGATACACTGTTTGCAGGAGTGTAGGAGAGAATTTACATCCTGTTTAAAAATGCATACTCAATTCTATTTTCATTCTAGAGATTTACTCCTGCTAAATGTACTTTTTTGAAGCTAAGATTTTGCTTTCTATTTTTTAAAAGTTAGAAAGGTAGTTTGTCAAATGGCCAATTGCATTGTTCTGTAAGAGGTAAAACAAAATTGCTGCTTCCACTAAGTTTTTATTATGTAACTTTTATTTTTATCAATTATTTTAATAAAAAAGTAGGGAATTTCAAGCATCATGAACAAAGTTAAAAATGCAATATTCCATACTGTATACTATATAATTTTAAAATTACAAATCACTGTTAAGCTCCAAGTAATACCAAGAATATGAACAACAATGATCTGCCTAGTGCAAATTAATCTCAGCACTGATATTAGGAATTGTAATTTCCACCTAAGTAATTTCTGTTAAGAAAACCCCACATTTCAGATGTGGTTCTGCCCCCTAAATTTAGGTATAATATAAAAATGGTTTTCCAGCTGAATTGATTTCTTTAAATTCCTTTGAAACATAAGCTGTTTTTAACATTGATCGTATTTCCAGAGTTTAATAAGCCATTCTTCAGCAAAGAGAAATGTCCCTATTCCTCAATAGGAAGTGTAAAGCAATAGTCCCCCAATCTTTCAAGCTCAGGGGACCTGTGGAGGCGGCAGTGAGGGTGGGGGTAGCGGATGGTTTTATGTGCGTGTATGCACTGCTTTCACAAATGCAGTATCACACACATTTACACACACATACACCGTCGCCCACCACTTCCGTGGACCGGTTCCAAACACTAGAGTATCCTGGCAGCAGATAGCATGTACAAAGCTAATCAAGTACAGTAGCTAAAATGGATGCTCAGTGATGGTGAAGGGTAAGTTACGGATTGGAAGACAGTGAATAGTGAAAGTGAAGAAGTGATGGACTACTTGTTAGAAAGAGTCTGCTACTAGTTTCCCCCATTGTTTGTAGGATAATGGAGTACTACAGTGATTGTTGTCATTATCTTCTACTTATACAGGTAGTCCTCAACTTGTGACCACAATTGAACCCCAAATTTCTTTTGCTAAGTGAGATAGATGTTACGTGAATTTTGTCCTATTTTACAACCTTTTCTGCCACAGTTGTTAAGTGAATCACTGTGGTTGTAACACAGTTGTTAAAGTGGATCTGCCTTCCCCAATGACTTCTCAGGTAATAAAAGGTGATCACACTGCAACTATCATACATATGATTCATTTGTCAAGCATCTGAGTTTTGATCACCTGACCATGGGCATGCTTGCAGTGTGGTAAGTATGAAAAATAGTTGTGAGTCACTAAGTGAACTGTTGTAAGTCAAGGACAACCTGTATATTGGGTGGCAATGTAAGATCAGATAACATTTTTAAAAAAGAGTTGGAAGGGAAATTCAGCTTTTAAAAGCTTCAACCTCTTTAAATCACTTTCCATAAAAATTGAGCTTTACAACATTTTTACAAAATTCAGAAAAATATTCTAAACTGGTTGTTATATTTTTACACTTTTTACAGAATGAACTGACCTGCAAGCTAGGGTAACAGTTTCTAACAGTAAAGCATCTTATATACGAATTTTCTTTAAGTACAACATTCAGTGTACATTTCTTTTTGTGTATTAATGAGTGTATCTAAAGTTTGTCTCTCTAATTGTTCAGTCATTTACTTGTAGAGATTCAGAGCTATAGTTCATGATTTATTACGGTAGTAAATTAGGCCTAGCAAATGCTTATTAGAAAAAAACAAAAACTGATCAGTGTGTTGATTCAATTAAAAAAAACACATTCTCTTTTCTAGTATTTTAGTAAAAAAGTTTGCAGTCTACATTCAGTAAAGAAATAGCTTGATGATTAGAGAGATCAGAGAAATGAAGCTTCTTTCCATGATGGAAGAGTTCTTGAGTCTCATCAATTACGTAATGGTTTGACCAAATTTTCTTGAAAAGTTTTATAGTATATTATAGATATGTGATCAGAATCACTCTTTCATTAGGCAAAGAAAACAGAATAAAAATAAAACAAGAAAAGGAAAGACATAAAAATGCACTACAAGTAATTGTGAGATCATCAATAGGTGGCCAAAGTCTACCTATTTTTACAGGTAATATAGCAGAATTTAGCTACCTACTGATTTGATAGTAACAGCTGTCCATTAAACAGACCCAAAGTTTTGTCAGATAGTGTTATCAAATGAATTCCTGGGTCCTTATAGAGGGTGCAGTATAACAGGTCCAGAGGGGCACAATCTTGGCTATTGTGGAACTTTCCTATATTGCCCCTCCAGCACAGCTGTGGAAAGGGCATTACAGTTTGCTAGGGTTAGTGCCCTCTGAAATTTGGAGACAAGTTATATGCTCTAACTATCAAGTCCTAAATTCTTAGTTTCAGCTTTCAAAAATTCGTCAGTTTCACCTTTGTAATGGGTTTATTAAGAATCATCTTTTCTTGATCTGCAAGGGAGGCAAAATTTAAAATTTAAAATTTAACCACCACATCTTTCACTTAACAACTGCAGTGATTCCTTTAACAACCAGAGCAAAAAGTTCATAAAATGAGGCACAACTCACTTAATTGCCTCACTTAGCAAAGGAAATTTTGAACTCGATTGTCGTAAGTTGAGGACTACTCAACTTACTTGTATTAATTTGTATTACTTGTATTAATATTACTACATTAAAAGTATATATTAAACATATTAAAATTGTATTATTAAAATTTGTATTACTTGTATTAATTTGTATACTAAAAGTCCAAACATATTCTGCACTCTGAATGTCTTTATTACAAAGGTGAAAAGCTAGAGTAGACTTTCTTTATGTCAGAGCTCCCTCTTGTGGTTATAAAAATATAAATTCCTTAGAAAATAGAAAAATAAAAAAGATTGACCTTATAAAATGCAGATAAAAGAGAGCTGATTGCAGGACAGTAAACCCCAGTAAGGCAAATAAGACAATAATCAAAATAAATTATTTCCACATTGGAAAATTCCTTACTGTCGCATTATATCAAATAGGCAGGGTTTTTTTTTAATTGATCTGAGTTCTCTGGATTTGTCACACAAAGGAAAAAAACCATAATGTGCTGTCATCTGAAATCCATTCTGCAACTTTTAAAGTATCTTGACACCTAGAATCTTAATACCCAGTATTTAGGTATTAATATTACCTTATGAAATCATGGCTTCCTATTGCAGTGGTTGTTGACTGTTTTTTCTTTGGTGGTTAAGCATACAGAATAACGTCTAATGATTTGTTTGGATTCGTAATCTTTCTGATCAAGCATTAGGTGGATCACAGTCTCATTGCTAACCTTAGTCAGGAAAATGCAATTAGGAGGTTTAAGAGGAATGTGAAAGAACTCATCTGAGCACTCAGATGTTTCAGATTTGCAAAGAAGAGAAAGAGTGTGCCATCTGTGTTTGACTTTGACAATGCCTATTGCCAGCGGAAAACATCTAACAGAGGAACTTCGGGGTGGGGTGGGGGGAATCGCCTATTGTTCCCTAGATCAAGAGTAGGAGTGGTATGATTTTTCCCATTGTTGAATTATCACTGGTGGGATTCTTTGCTTTAGAACAGGGGTTACCAACCTGGGATGCTGGGGGTGCGAGATGATATTCTAGGGGGTGCGAGAAAAGTCCAGGTAAATAATAGGATATTGGCTATATGTTGGCATTTTTATTTATTATTTATTTTAGGGGGTGCGAGGTTCGAGTGAAATTTATTTAGGGGTGCGGGGCGAAAAAAAGGTTGGGAACCACTGCTTTAGAACATGCTGGCTAGAGCTGCAAGGAGTTGTATTTTAGCAACAGGTCCCAAGCCTCCACTTTTATAACAGTTCAAAACCTGCTGCTTCTTCTTTTTCTTTTGGTACATACATTGTGTTATGTGCAAATGGTTTTTCTTCTTGTTCTTTATTGTGTAGTGATGGATTTAAGTCATGGAACTTACATCACTAAATTAGCTGAGTCTTAAGGTGAATGCATAGCTAAAGTAAAATTCCAGTCACCTCTGTTTAAATCATGGTCTTTGCCTTTGAAGAAAATGTCAGTGGCATTAATTATTTTGTTATGTTATCATATCATAAAATATACAAGTAATTTATGTTGCAACTATTGAAACATAGGATTAGGGTATTAGAAATATAAAGCTAATAAAAGAGTCAAATGTTGATGCTACATAGAAAAATATTATAGTATATTTCTGTAGAACAGTCAATGAACTCGTCTTCATGATGAATATAGAAAGGATTGTGGAATAATCTTAGCATGTCTATCCAGAAGTGAAGCTAGTTTGTTTATTCCCAGGGAAGTTGATATAAAGATGCTTATATCAGGGGGATTGGTAGGAACACTGAAACTTGAAGGTAGTTTCAAAAATCATTACTGTGAGGGACATGTCTACTCACATACCAATGAGGTTGTTCCCTAAACTATTATTTCCAGTCCAGCTTACCTTTGTTGTTGTTGCTTTAGGACAAGTGGGCACATTTTCAAATATGGTGCTGAACTATAGCCACTTACCAGTTTTATTTAATAACAGTGGTTAAGTAGCCTCAGATGCATTCATGAAAACAGACACTAGAGGCTGGTGCTTTGCCTTGAAGCATATTACCTTCCTGTTTAAGTGTAATTTTATTTATTTTTTTATAATTAGATAAGCAATAGATAAGATCTATTAAAGGGAAATGTCTGCCTGCAGCCTGAGTTGCCGTATAGGAATAGCACTTAGACTTAAATATTGCTTCACAGTCCTTTATAATACTCTCTGAGTTATTTACAATATCAGCATATTGCCCCAACAATCTGGGTCCTCATTTTACCAACCTCAGAAAGATGGAAGTTGAGTCAACCTTGAACTGGTCAGAATCGAACTCCTGGAGTAAGTAGTGAATTAGCCTGCAGTACTGTGTTCTAACCAATGGGCCATCGCGGCTTTATATTACAATGTTTTCTACAATGCTGCTTAATTAATCAGTGTATTTAATTTAAATACTTGTAATTAACCAAAAAGTTATCCCCTTTAAATGTATTTATGTCAGCCCTTTGATGTTGGCCAGATCAAGAAACCAACTAATCACTGAAGTGATTAGAACTACACCTTATTAACATTGGCTATAATAACAGTATTTTGAGCAAGTATGATTTTGTTGATCTCTCCTCTCTCTCATATTCCTGTGTATCATGGAGGAGCTTGCCTGTCTATTTTCCAAATACTAACTTGGTAGATGCTGACCCAGGACTTAAGGAATATTTAAGTCCTAATTTTTTATGTAATGGTTTTCCCCATCTCCCTATTCTCTATAGTTTTGCAATTATGAACAGAATTATTTCTCTTTCAAATTTCTTTAATTTGACTGTCACAAAATTATTTTATTTACTGTTTCAGTACTATCAACCTGATATTGGAATGAGAGGACCCTTTACTTCACCAACAGATAATCATGATGCAGGAAAAGTGAGTTATTCTATTCCTGTGATGGCGAACCTATGGCACAGGTGCCACAGGTGGCACACAGAGCCATTTGTGCAGGCATACGAGCCCCAGCCAAACTTACCTCACTGCGCATGCACACACTTCCCAGCTGGTTTTAGGCCTGTTTCGGCCTTTCAGAGGGTCAAGGGAAGCTTCTGCAGTCTTTGGAAGCCAAAAAACAGGCCCGTTTCATCACTTCCTGTATTTCCGGAAATACTGGAAGTGATGAAACGGGCCAATTTTTTTGGCCTCCAAAGGCTGCAGAGGTTTCCCTCGAACCTCTGCGAGGCCGAAAAAGGCCTCAAACGGGCCGAAAATTAGCTGGGAGGCGAGCACATGAGCAGTGCAGGTAAAGGGGTGGCAGGGGGATCGTGCGCGAATGCGCAGGGGGTGGGGGGACGTGTGCATTGCCTTCTGGGTGCTGCATGTGAGTGTGCCCATATAAGCACTTGCAATTTTCACAACAGGAGCCCCAAAAGTTAGCCACCACTGTTCTGTTCTGTTCCGATCTGTTCCATTCCATTTATCTGTATCTCACTTTTATTATTTTTACAAATAACTCAAGATGGAGGACATATCCAACACATCTTCCTCCCATTTTCCCTACAACAATGACCTTGTGAGGTGGGTTGGGCTAAAAGAGAGTGCCTGGCCCAAGGACACCCAGCTGGCTTTCATGGCTAAGGCGGGACTAGAATTCCTTCCCTTCCTGTCCAGTCCCATCCTGTCCCAAGCAGCTTAAATGTCTGCAAATTTATCATAGCGTTATATAAGTTCCTCCCCTTCCCCCCACCTTACCATCTGCATTATCATTGCATTCTTTGCATTCTTTGGATATTTGTAGAGCATCTTGAAAAATTACTTGTTTATTCAAGCTCCAAAGAAGACATTTCTCTAAGTGGGAGTGGTGGCTATTCAGAGAAGATAACAGTTGATAAATCTCTGCTCTCTCACCAGAGCAGTTCCAGTTTCTATGACTGTGTTTCATAGGACTGCACTTCTCAAAGTGTGCCAGGTTATGCTGTACTCTGATGTGGCTGACAGATACTAGCATGGCATTATTAATAGATGTTTGGGTGTAGAAATATACTTCCTTTGAGAGAGCACTGCTATCATCAGTTCTCTCTTACTTGGGCATTTGTCTGCTGCCCTAAAGTAAGCTTGCTACTTAATCTGTAGTGAGATGCACAGAAACCTCCACAAAGGGGTAGGAAGCTTACTTGTAACGATAATTCCTAGAACACATATGTGCATTCACACAGCCTCATTCTCTTTCCCCTTTCATGTGCTTTCTTTACTAAGTATCCTATTAATAATGACTGTCAGTCCTTTAGAGTGAAAGAAGGAGAGGGAGCATTACCTTAGGCATCCATGGTAAAATGGAGTTCTTGCTCCAAATTTCCTCAGTTGTGGAATATTCCCAATAAGGCTTTTGCACAGGTGCAGTATCTATATGTATTAATACACTGTTTACCACTTGAAGATACACAGTTGCAGAAAAATAAACCTGTTCTCAAGGGATATACATGCCTTGGATTTATTAGGTAAGAAGACATTGGTTATAGGAAGCTTCATGAAGACATTTCATTATTTTAAATATTAAAGATCAAAATAAATATAATATTTGTGATATTATTGAGTAGCTTTGGCTCTGCTAAGGAGTGATCAGAAACCTGTTCAAGAGTATATTTCAGAATTTGGATTTAAGCTGTCAAGGATATCTTCTTATGACATTAATATTGCAAGCTGCTCAGTCTCCAGAACTGGAGCAACATAAAAGTTGTATGAATAAATAAAAATGTTTCAGAACCAAGAGTTTCTCAACAGTGCTGATCATGAGAAACAAAACATGAGAAATCTCCGAAGTTGTCTATATCTATAAATTTTACAGGGAATGAAATGGCTCAATAACTGCTGATCGATCACTAGGCATTAGAGAAGCTGCAAACAGAATTCAGAGACAAGGCTTCTTGGCTTTGAAAAGTCCAGCAGAAGAGTTTTGAGAAATTTCAGAAATTCTCAGTATATACACACGAGTAAGAGATAGAAAGTGTGACTTTTTTTTTTTAGCTTATCCTCAGGTTCAAGGAAAATTGAAGTAGTACTAGATTTTATCCCTTTTCTGTTTATCCAAAACTTTCTGTATAGTGTCAGAATACTTTGGATATCTGGGGTCTGTGGTAATCAGAATTAATTGTCAATCAATGTTGGGGACCCTTGTAAACAAACCTTTAATAGCTAGACATTATCATAGGTTTGTATGGATGTAAGCGTACAATAAATGTGGTGCTTATGTTGGGAAAAAAACGAGCCAGACAGTTTTTCAGATGCACGTTTGTTGAATTTTAAGGATGTGTATATACATATGTTGTGGTCATATATCAAGCTTGCTTAGAATCAGCACTGCATTCCATAGGGAACATCTGCAGGGCAACCCAATTTTTTTTTGGGGGGGGGGGGGATTTCTTTTTTTTTAATTTGCTGTTCCTTGCAACCTGCATTGAAGCTCTTGCAAATAAAAGGCCAGGTGATTTAGTAATAGAAACATCAACAAGGATGCACAATATTACAAGAAGGAAGGAATAGTAAACAGAAGGGAGCAGAAAACTTCTAAAGGGAATAATAAGAAGTGGTTTAAGCAAAATAGATAGAATTAATGAAAGGGTTGAGGAGGAGGAGGAGAAATGACATAAAAAGAGGAGGGAATAGAATGATGGGAATCTAAACATGCATCTCCTTTGGTGTTAAACTTATTGGTATATAATAGTACCAGTATTTATTCAAGAACTGGAAATGATTACTCTTTAGTAAACATCTTGGAAGTATTGTAATAAAGAATAACTTGTGGGGGTTGTGCAGCAAGTTAATAACACTCATGTAGGCTTTTAAATTCTATTTGCAGAGTAACTGCCCTCAGTGATTTTTATTTGGTTGAAAACATTAAACCAAATGTTTTAATATGTAGAATATTATCATGTTTAGATTTGTCAATATTTACTAGTGTCATGGACGCTATATTACAGTCTTATACCCTAATATTTTTTACTGTTTCACTTCAGAAGAATTGTCGATCCTTATTCTTGTCCGGCCATGTTGGTTTTGATAGTTTACCAGATCAATTGGTTAACAAATCTATCCATCAGGGATTTTGCTTCAACATTCTCAGTATTGGTAAGTAATTTAATTTTCAAAAGTGTAAATTAATTTAAACAGGTCCTGTCGAAAAGTCTGAAACAATGAAAATAACAATGTTGACCTCCAGATACTGGTTCAAAGGTGACATAACTAAGTTTATTTACCTTTTTACAGTAAATTCCTTAATTTGCTTAATTAAATATATTTCATTCCTTAAGTACTTTATATTCCTTAACTGTTTTCACTCTTTAAGCTTCACAAACATTATAAAATTTATTGATAGCTTAGTGCATCTTTATAGTTAGCAGTAATTCCGCATTGGTTTATTTTGATAGTAAAAAATAGCTTTTGCATTTATTTAATGAAAATGCTATTCCATTTCTAAACATTTTCCTAACTATTTTCAGGAAATACTTATCAGGGTTAAAAGAACTTAGTGAATAATTTGCAAATAAAACCTTTAATAATTATTATTCCTTTTTAAATTCAGAACCTCATCTGAAGCAGAAAGGCTATAAGTCTAATTAAGATAAAAAGTATGCTATTACAAGATAAACAGTATAGTTTAGTAATAGATAATTTAAACAGTCCTCAACTTATGACTGTTTAAGTTTGAAGTTAATCACTTGGAAAACATGACTTATGACTTGCACTTGCACTTATGACCGATGTATCACTGCCATGGTCACACAATTGCAATCTGTGCACAACGTATTTACAACTCTTTGCAGCAACTTGCAGTCACGTAACCATGATTTGCATCTTTTTTGCCGGTTTCTGACAAAAATTGAATTTGCTTAGCAACCACCATTAACATTTTGTAAAATTAGGTTCAACCTGACTTATGACCACAGTGACATAAAGTGAAAATTCTTGTCTCAATTATCATCATAAGTCAAGGACTACCTGTACATATGACTGATTAAAAAGTGATATTTCACCCCATATCAATCATTACAAGCTTATTGTTTGGTTCAGTTATTGTGTCTCAGCTTATTGCATTTTAGAGGATTGATATTAGAGTAACCAAGAATAGAAAGCCATGTATGCTAGTAACTTATGAAGACAGTGTCTGAAGACAGTGTCTGAATTTGGATTTTTTTTAAAATGATAGCATCCTCTGAAAACTCAGCACTTTGGTTTCAGTTTCTTGGATACAGTTTCCATAGAGCAAAAGAAAAATCTGAAATTAAATCAGTGATAGGGAAAGACAGAAGGAAATAAAGACTTAAATAAAGAAGCAACAGTTCTTGCAAGTTGCAGAGTGAAGCTAATGGGCACCTGATGTCTTTTTGAGAAATGCTTTTGCATATTGTATAAAACTTACAAAAGGAAAGGTATTTCTAATGGTATCCATAGTGAAGTTACAACAAAACTCACTGCATTACTTTTAAATGGTAGAAATTAAGTTTTTATTTTTGTGTTTCATTGACATTTATGCAAGTGCATTTGTGATATAACTGTACTTTTTAAATCTCTTTAATTTTAGGAGAAACAGGAATTGGAAAATCAACTTTGATTGATACCTTATTCAATACCTCTTTTGACGATCATGTGTCAACACACTTTCAGCCAAATGTGAGGCTTAAAGCTCAGACTTATGAGCTTCAGGAAAGCAATGTCCGATTGAAGCTGACAATTGTAAATACAGTTGGATTTGGGGACCAGATAAACAAAGATGATAGGTCAGTATCTCAAATGATACTCAAATTCAAATGAGCTGCCTGCTGCTACTGATCTAGATTCTTGGCATTTATTTTATGTAATAGAACAACTATTGAACAACCTATAGAACAACCATGGCTATCAATAAAGCATCACATATAATAAAGCCACTAGTAATCATTTCCAAATGGTTGCCTATAGTTGGCAACTACATTCCTTACATCAGTGATCCCCAACCTTTTTTACGCCGCGGCCCGGTACCGGCATCATCTGGGCACCGCCATCTTTTTTTGATGAAAAAGTGCTTCCGGTGACCTCACCGGAAGCACTTTTTCATCAAAAAAAGATGGCGCCAGCGCTTCCGGTGAGCTTTTCCGGGTAGAAA